CAATGGATAGATCAACAAGACAAAAAATAAGTAAAGAAACTAAAGCTCTAAATAAGGACCTAGAGCATTTGGGCTTAACAGACATCTATAGAACACTAAACCCAAAAAAACGGAGTACACATTTTTCTCAAGCGCACACGGATCATTCTCCAGGATCGATAACATACTGGGGCACAAGACAAACATCAACAGATACACCAAGATTGAAATCATACCAACCATCTTTTCTGACCACGAAGGCATCAAACTAGAAATAAATCATAAAAAGAAGGCAAGGAACTATCCTACCTCATGGAGATTAAAAGCCACATTACTGGAAGACCACTGGACTAACGAGGAGATCAAAGAAGAAATTAAAAAATTCTTTGAATTGAATGACAAGGAGGACACCAATATCCTAAATGTATGGGATGCAGCAAAAGCAGTAATAAGAGGAAAATATATAGCAATAGAAGCTCACATCAAAAACAAGAAAGAACTCAAAGAAACAACCTAATCTCGAAGCTCAAAGATCTAGAAAAAGAACAACAAAAAACCCCAGAACCAGTATAGAAGAAAAGAAATAATAAAAACCAAAGCAGAAATAAATGAAATTGAAACTAAAAAAACAATCCAAAAGATCAATGAAACCAAGAGCTGGTTCTTTGAAAAAATAAATAAAATAGACAAACCCCTAGCCAGGCTCACAAAGGAAAAAAGGGAGAAAGCACAAATACACAGAATCATAATGAAAGAGGAGAAATCACAACGGACACAGCAGAAATCAAAAGAATAATCAGCAACTACTATGAACAGTTATATGGAAACAAGTTCAACAATCTAGAGGAGATGGACAAATTCCTACAACTCTACAATCACCCAAAGCTAGATAAAGAAGAAATAGAACACCTAAACAGACCAATTACAAGCAGCGAAATTGAAATGGTAATTAAAAACCTCCCCAAAAACAAAAGCCCAGGACTGATGGATTTACAAATGAATTCTACCAAACATTCAGAGACGAATTAGTGCCTATCCTTCACAAACTCTTCCAAAAAATTGAGAAGGAAGGGACAATACCAAACACGTTCTATGAAGCCAATATTACACTAATACCAAAACCGAATAAGGACAACACAAAAAAGGAAAACTATAGGCCAATCTCCCTAATGAACACTGATGCAAAAATCCTCAATAAATTTTAGCTATCAGAATCCAACAATGTATCCATAAGATAATCACCACGACCAAGTTGGATTCATTCCAGGGGCACAAGGATGGTTTAACATCCGAAAATCAATCAACGTTATCCAACACATCAACAAAAAGAAATATAAAAACCATATGATAATATCAATAGATGCTGAGAGAGCTTTCGACAAAGTGCAACACCCATTCATGATAAAAGCCCTTGAAATTCTTGGGATACAAGGAACATACCTCAACATCATAAAGGCCATCTATGACAAGCCAACAGCCAGTATCATTCTCAATGGTGAAAAGCTGAAAGCAATTCCATTAAGATCTGGAACAAGACAAGGATGTCCACTCTCACCACTGCTTTTCAATATAATACTGGAAGTCCTAGCCAGAGCAATAAGACAAGAGAAAGACATCCAAGGAATCCAATAGGAAAAGAAGAAGTCAAACTATCACTATTTGCAGATGATATGATAATATACATAGAGACCCCAAAAATCTCCACAGAAAAACTAATTCAACTCATCAATCAATTCAGTAAAGTGGCAGGATACAAAATCAACACGCAAAAGTCAGTAGCCTTCCTATACACAAACAATAAATCTGAAGAAGAAGAAATCAAAAAAACCACCCCTTTTATTATCGAAACAAAAAAAATCAAATATTTGGGAAATAAATCTAACAAAAGAGGTAAAGGACCTATACAAAGAAAACTATAAACACTGTTAAAAGAATAGAAGAAGACACAAAGAAATGGAAAGACATCCCCTGCTCATGGATTGGAAGAATAAACATTATTAAAATGGCCATCCTACCAAAAGCAATATACAGATTCAATGCTATTCCAATCAAAATCTCAATGGCATTCTTCAAAGAAATAGAACAATTATTGATGAAATTCATATGGAATCACAAAAACCCCGAATAGCCAAAGCTCTACTGAAAAAAAAAAGGAAATGGAGGCATCACACTCCCAGACTTCAAACTATACTACAAAGCCATAATCATCAAAACTGCATGGTATTGGAACAAGAACAGACATACAGACCAATGGAATCGAACAGAAAATCCAGAAATAACCCACAGATTTATGGTCAACTAATCTTTGACAAAGAGCAAAGACTATGCATTGGAGCAAAGAAAGTTTGTTCAATAAATGGTGCTGGGAAAACTGGGTCGCTACATGCAAAAGAATGAAGCTTGACCACTACCTCACACCATACACAAAAATCAACTCAAAATGGATTAAAGATCTAGACATAAGACCTGAAACCATAAAATACATAGAAGGAAAATATGGCGAAACACTACGTGATTTGCACATCAAAGACATCTTTACAGACACATCACCCAAAGCAGTGATAGTGAAGGCAAAGATAAACAGCTGGGACTACATCAAATTAAAGAGCTTCTGCACAGCAAAAGAGACAATAACAAAAACAAAGAGAAACCCCACCAACTGGGAGAACATTTTGCACCCAACACTAATGATAAAGGACTGATCACAAAAATCTGCAAAGAGCTGATGAGACTCAGCAACAACAAAGAAAATAATCCAGTCAAAAAATGGGCAGAAGAGCTAAAAAGAAACTTCTCTGAAGAGGAAATGCAAATGGCCAACAGACATATGAAAAAATGTTCAACATCACTGTAATCAGGGAAATGCAAATCAAAACTACCATGAGATACCATCTCACACCAGTGAGAATGGCACATATTAAAAAAACTAGCAACAACAAATGTTGGCGAGGATGTGGAGAAAAAGGAACTCTTGTGCACTGTTGGTGGGAGTGCAAACTGGTCCAACCACTATAGAGAGCTGTGTGGAGATTTCTGGACCTACTAAACATAGAGCTTCCATATGATCCAGCAATTCCACTCCTAGGTATTTACCCAAAGGACACAGAAACATCAATTCCAAAGAGCACCTGCACTCCTATGTTTATAGCAGCACTGTTTACAATAGCTAAGCTTTGGAAACAGCCCAAATGCCCAAAAATAGATGACTGGATCAAGAAGATGTGGTACATATATACCATGGAATATTACTCAGCATTCAAAAAAGATAAACACATGCAATTTGCAGCAACATGGATGGCGCTGGAAGGGATCATGCTCAGTGAAATAAGCCAAAAAGAAAAAGAAAAATACCGGATGGTCTCACTCATAGCAGGAATCTAGAAAACTTAAATAAGGGACCAGGAAAATGAATATAGGAAAGTGAAAATCAAAATCAACAAAAAACTATGAACCAGAGACACTTTTTGGGGGGTGGGGGGCGGGAGGGGAAGGATTGGGGTCAGAATGGGGCGTTTGCAATTGTATGGGGGAATATAAAAATAAAATTTAATATTTAAATTAAAAAAAAAAAAAAAAAAAAAAGAAATAAACCCCAATGACATTTTTCCCAAGGAATTAAATGACTAAAAAAAAATTTCATGGAACAACAAAAAGCCCCAAATAACTTAAGCAATTGTGACAGGAAAGAAAAACAGTTATTACATTCACTGATTAGGTACTGGAATAAAAACAGAAACAGACCAACAGAACAGGATAGAGAGCCTAGAGACAAGCTCACACAAAGAGCCATGATCATACAATGAAATAAGTGTCCTTAACAAATGGTGGTGGAAAACTTGGACATGTGAAAAGTGAAACCGGATCCCTAACTAATAACTGAACTTCCCTTTAGAACCTCAAATTTCATGTATTCTGTTCCAATAATAAGTAGTATTCCATAATAAACCTATATACTATCATTCATAGGTTTAAAATCCACCTAAGGATGGTGCGCAATGTACATAAATTAATTTTATGACACTGCTCAAATTTTCAATTGAGTATGATAAAAGAACACATCCATAGGTGTTAACACTTCAAATGTCTGGTGAAGAAATCTGTATCAAAAACGGTCATGTTTTAGCTAATGGATTCTGGCTGTTCAATGGCAACTGGAAAATTAACTAAATGACCTGAATTTTCCATATTTGGAAATACAGATATACCTGAGCAAATGAATGCTCATATGGAGTAATGAGTGTTTATGAGTTCATGTGTACCAAATCAGGTTACATACTGAAGTAACATGTAACATTTCTCAATAATATAAATTAAATCATACAGAATGTTGTATACAAAATATCATGGATGCTTGAATTAAGACTGATACCTTGTTTTTCAAACTTGAGAGGGGAAAAAAATTAATGGTTTCAAAACAGTGTTTTGAAATGAATGTTCTTAAGATAGGGGTTTCACAGAAATTTCAGTGACATAAACAAATTGAACATAACTATATCCAGAGAACAAACAAATTGGGCATATCCCTCCACTCACAAATAATTAGTTTTCCATCATTTTATTTAGAAACAAATGATCAGATTATAGACTTTAGTAATAAATATTTCTTTAAATTTTTTTGGAGTGGTTGAAAACAATGAAAGAAATTATGTAAATTGAGTCACCATGAAACACCATTCTGTTCAGTTTTTGACTAACTCTAGAAGAATACAACTGCATTTTGGTCAAAAATCTTAAATAAGGTTAAACAACGATGACACGTCAAATATTATAATTTAATGATCTTTGACATCCAAAAGAAGGCAGTTGAAAGAAAAAAAACAAAGACTGGTTGAAAAACTGCATTCGTTTTCTGATATTTGGCATACTTTACATACCATGAGGGACATGTTGCAGGTAGGAATGGGGATGAGTTAATGGGAACAAAAATTACAATAGACAAATAAAATGCAGGAAGTCTCTCTTGTATGAAGAGGCATCCAGACTGAGGAACCTGTGCAGAGGAAGTCACACATTATACATACCTACAAAGAATAATGGCACCTCGGTTTACACTGGCCCAGGACTTCAGGTTCTTCATACCAACATGCTCAAAGAGGGTTTTTGCAAAACAACCTGTAAAATATACAATGATTTAAACTTCCAACCTTCTTCTCTACTACTGTTCATAGATCTGCAAATATATTTTAAGGAAAAAGCTAATAAAAATACTTCTCATCCAATCTCGAACACTAAAAATTCCCGCTCAGGTTCATGTAATTCAATTTTTTAAAAAGATTTATTTATTTTTAATTTTATTTTTATATTCCCCACACAATTGCACCCCCCTTATTTTCACCCCAATCCCCCCCCCCACAGTGTGTCTCTGGTTCATAGTTGTTTGTTAAATTTGATTTTTTCTTTCTTACAGTTATTCTTTTTCCTGGTCCCTTATTTAGGTTTTCTAGATTCCTGCTATGAGTGAGACCATCCGGTATTTTTCTTTTTCTTTCTGGCTTACTTTGCTGAGCATGATCCCTTTAGCTCCATCCATGTTGCTGCAAATTGCATGTGGTTTATCTTTTTTGATTGCTGAGTAATATTCCATTGTGTATATGTACCACATCTTCTTGATCCAGTCATCTATTTTTGGGCATTTGGGTTGTTTCCATAGCTTAGCTATTGTAAATAGTGCTGCTATAAACATAGGGGTGCAAGTGCTCTTTGGAATTAATGTTTCTGTGTCCTTTGGATAAATACCTAGGAGTGGAATTGCTGGATCATATGGAAGCTCTATAAAGATTTATTTATTTATACAAGAACTGGGGCACAGGCCAGATGCGCGGGAGGGTGAGAGGATTCACCAGAGACAGAGTGAGGAACAAAACAGGCAGATAGACGAAATACACTGCTGAGGGGAGCAGCGGGCGAGACAGGAGAGGTCTGCTGTGCCATGTGGGACCCTCGCCAGCCGGCTGGGATTGAACCAGTGCTGCAGAGGCTGCGGACAGCTTCACAGCACTGTGCTCAACCGCCTGCGCCACCAGGGGAGGCCCCATATAATCCAATTTTAATAGAGCTAGTTCATTCAACTCTGATCCAAACCCTAAGTCATATTTAGTAGTAAATGCTCAAGAGGACCAATGAATTCTTATAAAACCCTCACTTGATCATGTTTGTATTTCTTTGCACTAGTTTAATGATTTAACCCTGGCCTAAAAAGTTACTCAGGAAATAAATGTTTTACATTTACATAGCAACTTGTGTTTGGTTGAAATCAAATTTTCTCTCATGGAAAATGCTCACTCAGCAGATGCCAATGAATAGAACTAGAGGTCAAATGACTTTTCTGGCTTATATCTTGCAAATTCTTTCTACAATGCTAAACACTCACCCATCAAAAACACCACACATCTTTTGTCATTATAGTGCATCTGACTGCCAAGGTATCCATGCATATTATTTACTCTGCCATTTAAGTGAAACTATTTTTTGGACAAAGGAGACATTTTGAAGGCTAAGATTTAGTATAGACAGCGATACGGCATTCTCTCCTGAAGGCAAACATATCTTGGGTAAATGGCATTTATAACTCATTGGGAGATACCCAAAGTAGAGGAGTTTTTGAAAGACCAAAGGCCTATGGTTATTTAGCTATTCAAGACACATGCTAAGGAGAGACAGATATCAATTGATGAGGCAGATGGTGCTTTCTATAGGTGACCACAACAGTATCTGCTGTCCTGCACACTCTGTAAGAATATGGCAGCCACCACCGTGTTGAAGCAGGAACCTATGCCTTCACCCTTTGAATCTAGATGGGTCTTTGTCATTGAGTTGACCAAGAGTATAGTAAATGTGAGGATATATCATTTCTGAGACTAAGTCATGGAAATGCCATGCACTTGCTTTGTTCCCTTAAAACCTGACCACCATGTTTTGAGGAAGTTGGAACAGGACAGGAAGAGGACTTAAGGCATTTAGTGCCAACTGGGAAAGTGGCTACTCCAACTTTAACCTAGCAGCCCGAGGTGTCTGAGTAGAGCAGGAACAAGCTCCATCAAACCCTGATCAAGTGACTGTTGTTTTGAAAACTACTGAGATTTGAGGTGACCTATTAACAGCAACAGTTAACTAAGACAGCCAATCACACTCATTTAGTGGTACATGGAACTGAAAAACACATCTGGTCCAAACAAGTATATTTTAGGGCTGTCAATGCATTTTAATTAAGGAGAAAAATCACTAGAAAATTTTTTTTTGATTTTAAATAGTAACTCAGTTTATTTTTCTGACAAACTATGCACTAACTTTTTAATAATGAAAAAGATGATTCAATAAATATTTTTTTCCTCACAACATATTACAAGTGTTGTCTTCCACAAAACATTTACAGTGAAAATAGGTCCCAAGACTATTTATCAAAGTATAATGAGAAGAGACAGCTATACTACTATACTGACTGTCTTACTCACCATTTGAACTTACTGGAGGACTTTGTTCAGACATAGTAATAGAAAGCTCAAACTGTTTTAATTCATGGGAGGAAAATCTCCTCAATGCTAAAATACCAGATGGAGTCTAAATTTAGTGAGAGAAGGTCTGGTCAACGATAGGACTGAGTGGGGATGGCATGCAACTTTTCAATTACAGAAAAGATGCTGTCCTTGTGAGAGCTGAGTTTCTGCAGAGCAGCTGTAAGGTTTATGAAAAATCAAGAAATGCCAATGACTGACTTGTTCTTTGGAAACATGTATATCAATGCTAAATAAGCACAGGTTCAAAACACTCTGATGAGGATAACTTTCTTCTGTTCATCCTTCCCTCAAAAAACTAGAGAGAAATTTAGTGCGGGTCCCCTATTTTGCTCTCACCACCCTCAACAAATAAAATGGAATTTTAGGATACCTATCAAATCTGGTTAAAATCCTTGAAGTAAGAGAGGGAGAGAGTGAGGCAGGGTTGGGAATAGAAGGAAATTCAAAGGATCCCAGCACACAAATTTTTAGGGAAAAGAAGCATTATTAGCAATTATCACCAAATTATTCATTTACACATACCATTTCAAAACCAAACAAACTTTCACTTGAACTTAAATGGTCAACATAAAGTTCAGGAATGCCGGGAATTACTGAAATTCCAAACAGATACAAGAAAAGGTCAAGTTTCATAGCCTACCTTCTCTTCCATTTTCTTTCATCTTTTTATCTTGCTCTATTAACCACTTCAGAACTAGATGTCCTGCAGGATGTTCTGCAACATGAAGCTATGAGGGGTCAAGAAGACATTAGTTTACAAAGTTGTTTTCACTCACGCTTTGGTCTATAATCCATTCGACATGCCCACATACAGATAAGGATTCTGCCAAGTTCAAGTCTCACAGCATAGGAGGTCTTACTTTAAAATGACCATTATACCTGGAGGAACCAGAGATCTAGTCTAAACCCCAGACTGACATGAAGATGATTATTCAAGATAACACAGCCACTGAAAAACAGCTCAGGCTCAGCCTTCCTAAGTTCCAGTTTGAACAGCAACATCACAAAGCTTATCTTAAGCTCAGGCTAAAACCATAAACTATATTGTAATGCTAAGTTCTGAGGCACATATAGAACCTGTAAGACTCTACACTATGGTAGAAACATTAAAACCTCACGGCAACCGGATGTGTGAATACATGTGACTGCATCAGGAGTAGTTATCTGATGAGGAAGCCAACCAAGCAGCTTTTCAGCTCAATCTCATTCTTGTTTCAAAGGCTGCAGCAATTGTTCCTGTAGTCCCTAGACCCTGTTCTTAACAAGCAGGGGAGATGATGGGCTCAATCTCCTCATAGACACAACTTTCATTATGCTGCCTCTTCCTGATTGGTTAGTATTATCTGCTCTATGAGGACAGGAGTTCACGGCACATTCTTCTTCCCTTATCTTCTATGTCAAAAAAAAAGTAAGCCCCCCAAACATGTTTGTCAGGAGTCTACAGTATAGGACAAAGGCCTGCAAGACTTCTGCCCTCCTCTTTACTTTGCTCACTAATTTCCAACCCTCCAGGCCGGGCCTTCGGTTCCCAAACCTGCTGAGCTCCTTCCTGCCTGCAGGCTCTTTCCTTTTCCTAGAGCTAGCATTCTTCATTGAGCTGCTAATCCTTTGGGTCTCAGTTTAGCTCTCTCATTGCCTCACAGACGTCTCCCTGGGATAGAATGGCTCCCACTTTTATACAATCTTTGTAATTTTTCTTCACAGCACTGATCTCAAAATTAAAATAGGGAAATATTTATTTAAATGTTGTGTACCCTAAAATGGTTAACTTTTTTTTTTTTTGCAGGGGGAGGTGGAGGGGGAGAGGGAAAACAGAGGGAGAATGTTAACACATACCAGGTGCATGAACCAAAGAACTTAAGATGGAAAGCTGAATAACATAAGGCCCAAATAATATAGACAGGAGCTATCAGAAAGACTAAATTATTTTTGAGAAAGGAATAGGGAAGACTTCATTCTGGGGACCCTGAAGGACAAGCAAAGCTGTCTCAAGGGAAAACATAGGAAAATGGGAGACATGGCAGCACTCAAGGCTGAGTGAAAAAATACAAATGCAGAGAGATACAGAAGTAGTGATGAAGTCCACACTAAAGTCAAAGCAGAATTAAGAGCATAAAATATGCTGGAAAGGCAATCTGGGACCGATCATGGACAACAGAGAGCCACAATGAGAAGATTTCATTTTTTTCTCTATGGGTAATATGCAGTCATTGCAAATGTCTAAGAAAGAGAGTGTTGTGTGTACTGAATTCACTACTTTCAAATATATTGGTAATTACTGGTAAGTTGAGGTAATTATCATTACAATTCTCTTCACAGCAATGTTCTTAGTTATTGGCGTTTCCCCACCTATATCCACTGCAGCCTTCTTTATCATAGCACATTACCTCACCATCCTTGCCACCAGGATATAGCTCTGCTGCTGCCAAGCTGGCGATGGCATTCATGGCAGGCTGAACGTCTCCAATGGCAGCTCCCAGAATGTCAGACACCAACACACACGCAGCCTTATCTAACACCACCTCTTGGGCATGTCCTTGCAGGTAGCTTAACAAAGCCGGAGAAATGGATTCTAAGAGTTCTCGTCGGCGAATTTCTGTATCTTTCTTACTGTTAGAATACCAAATGAAGTATTAAAGGAAATATGGTGATTTTATTGTCACAAAAACCTCTAAGAGTCTACAACAATCTGTATCACTCTCTACTGTTATTGTCTTTCTGCTGTGTGTGCAGATGATAAGCAAGTTGAGGGGGGCTAGCTGTCCTTTATCTTTGTGTCCTCAGGATCTCCACAGGGCCTGGCACAGAACCAGCACTCAGTACATGAGGCCTGCCTCTTGTAAAAATAACGCCAACCCAAATGATAATTCCAAACAATTATTACAACAGACTATATTACAAGTGTACACTACTTTATGGACTTGAATCGCTAGAGTACTTTTGATACCAGTACCTTTAAAAATAAAGCAAAATCACGGTAAACCACGCACTTGAGTGCTACTGTGTGCCAGGAGCTCAGAGGCATTCTTTGGCATGCTGCTTTTATTTCTATTTCAAAATAAAAACTTTCAGGCTTAAAAATAAGATGCATTTTGAATTTAGATAGAGAGGAGGAAGCATAAGAGTGTGGTGCATGTGTGAGTAGGTTTCTGGAAGCATGTGCTTCTCAAATTAGTAATCAACACAGCAGAGGAATGAAGATTTCAAGCCACTCTACTCTTCCTTACCTGTGTGCATTTCCATCTCCCTTCTGCAGAACTTCAATGATTTCTCGTACTGTATGTGCTGGGTCTCTGGGACTTAGTAAATACAACAGGACCTTCCTTCCATACTTGTCACTTACTAGGTTTGGCAAAGAATTAATAATTTCCTGTAAAATTACAGAAACAAACAAACAAAAAAAAATGAGACTATACATTTAAAGCATACTAGGAATCTGAACGGAAAAGGATAAAACTGCCCCAATATACTTAATGGAAAATTCAGGGATAGTTCTGAAATCATCTCATTAAAGCACAAAGAATTTTACATTTGGAACACAAAACTGATTCTCTACTGTGACTTATATTAATGAACAATCCATTAATTACTGAACAATCCATTAATATTTAACTGACCAAACCCACGGACTTAACAAAAAACATATTTGAATCAGTTATCTTCCTTCACCACAACCAGTATTTCTTAGGCTATTATTACTAGGGACACTGCTTGCAGCGTCAGTGAGCACATATAGTTAATTTGCAGCTGCATTTAAATGTAGCAACGGCATGGATGAAGAACATTCTTCTAAGAATTTCCCCACTGAGATGTATGTGAAGGGAGATAAAGAAACTCTGTTGAACAGAACAAAAGTGGATAAAGGCTTTTAAAGCTAGGTTTGTTTGTTATTCACAGAAAATGAAGAATGTTGAAATACAGTATGGAAATCAAAGAGGGGGAGGGAATCAAATGCAGAAGGAGTCCATGGAGCAGTTGCAAATAATTACACTCTATGATATTTTCAACTTACCCAACAATAGTAACCTCCTTTTCTAGTTGTTTCAATTTAACAAACAGGCAATGTCATCCCCACCCCAGCTAATCTCTTAAGTAAATCTGTTAATGTTTTCAAAGACAGAAATGTCACTGTTTAAAGATTTCTTTGTTCTAATAGAGAAAATACAACAGAAAAACCATCAGTTTTTCACCCCCTCTAACATCCTCTTTCTCAGAACAAACCTACTAGGTATTTGAAAAATACCCTCCTCTGCTGTAGGCCTCAAATCTGTAATTTTCCTGCAAGTTTAGTCTTTTTTTGACCCTTTGTTTGGTTTCCCTATATTTCTCCTCTAAGTGAAACCATCTGAATGTTTCTTTTCTCTTCCGGCTTATTTCACTAAGCATAATCCCTACCAGCTCCATCCACATTGCTGTGAATGGCATGAGTTTATTTTTTTTGATTGTGTATACCACATTTTCTTTCTTTTTTTTTTAATTTGGGGCTTGAATTCATTGCTTTTTTTTTTTTAAGATTTATTTATTTTATTTATACAAGCACTGGGTACAGTCAGAAGCACGAGAGGGTGAGAGAATTCACCAGAGCCAGAGCGGGGAGCAGAGCAGGCAGAAGGACCGAAGTACACTGCTGAGGGGAGCAGCGGGCGGCAGGAGAGGTCTGCGCGCCATGTGGGACCCTCCTCCGGTGGCCGGGGAGCAGCCGGGGATCGAACTGGCGCTGCAGAGGTTGTGGGCAGCTTCGCAACCCAGCGCTCAACCGTTGCGCCACTGGGGAGGCCCTATACCACATTTTCTTGACCCATTCATCTGATTTGGGCATTTAGGTTGTTTCCATATCTTAGCTACTATTGTAAACAGCTGCAATAAATGTAGAAGTGCAGGTTTCCTTTTGTGTCCTTTGAGTAGATTCCTAGGAAGAGAATCGCTGTATCATACGGTAGATCCATTTTTAATAATTTGAGGATCCTCTATATGGCTTTTAATGGTCAGCCACACCCTCTTAAGGAAAGGAATTCTCCATGAGATGACACACTAAGATCTGCTATTCTCTTAAGAGCCTATATACTACAATGAGATTAGTAATTTAAGTATAAGGAAACAAGCAAGAAATTAAGTCAGTCATCAGTCATGGGATCACAATAGAAACTGGAGACCCCCAGGCTGAAACTTTAACTCCAGACTCCACACATCATGTTTCTCTCTTTAAAACCCCAAGCTTGCCTTATTTTCTGCACAAATGTATCATGTTTTTTACAATTAACAATAGTAGCTGATACTTGTGAAGGTCACTCATCCAGGACATGGAAAAGGTGGCCTCTTTAAGTAATTCTAACTCCTGAAGTGCTCTCCAACCTTTGAAGAAGTTTGAGGTAAGGTCATTTATAAAAATTTCCCCAAAGTAAAGGTTTTCAGATAACAGGTGCAACAGATCTAATTACCTCAAAATGAATATAACTATACCTCAAAATAATTACTATTATAAGGAAGGACAAAAGTGCATAATAACAATACTACTATAAAGGAAGAAATTAGGGAATAACGCATACAAAAATGTGCTTATATGGGAGAGACTGAGAAGGCTCTTTTGTAATTTCAAGGTAAACATACCTCAAAATGGACTCATTATATGCATTTTTGATAATAAAGTGCTTAGTGCCAAAAATGTGGACTACTGGAGATGAGCGGAGCAACATGGCGGCGAGGAGACGCTGCGAGTAAGATCTCCCATTAAAAAAAGTTAATAGGGAGGAAAAGCGGCAGGTCCCAGTGAGAACTGGGACACGGAAGATAAACGGGTGACGCCAGCAAACTACCCGAAGAAGAAAGTGGCCATAAAAGAGGACTAGAAGGGAGGGAAGCGCAGAACCCTGCTCCCCTCCCCCGCCCACAGAGGCGGCACTCCGACCGCAGAGAGAGGAGGAAACAACAAACCAAAACGACCAACAAGAACAAAACGACACGCAGCAAGCGGGACTGTGAGTGGAAAGGAACTATTGCAGCCACCACACCCCGAGAACGGGAGCTGAGGCGAACCCTGCAGGATTCGCCGCGGCGGCGAGCTAACGGCTCCGGGCGCCATTAGAGAAGAACAAAGACCCCGGGAGACCCGCACACAGCCCGGGCTGCCGGTAAGCTGGCGCGGAAATGCGGCGCGCTCAGGGAGCTTGAAAAGCAAGTGCAGACCGGAATCGCGGCTGCCCAGGTACCCGCGCCTGCGACCTAGGCTTGCGGGGAGACGACCTAGGCTTGCGGGGAGACGCGCGGAGGTCCTCACTGAGGTGAAGGTCCCTCCCTGAGTGAGCAGGAACCAGGCACCCGGGCACGGGAGCGGTGCAAAAGGCGCCATTCCTGCGCCACTGAACTGGGCTACAGCCCGCGTCCTGGAACTGAGGGCTTTGAACTGAGACCCGGGGCACGAAAATTCGGGGCGTGGGTTCTCCACGACGGTGGGGCACAAGGCAGACACAGCACCCCAAAGCTGTTGAGGTGTACCCTACCATTCCCGCTCTGTTCCCTGTCCCACGGGTTGGGGGACGAAAAACAGCCCCCAAGGACAATAGGAGAGATCTCTGGCACCACCTAGTGACCAGGAAAAAAAAAGTCACTAACACCCCATAGAACAGGAAATTTCTTAAGACTGCTTGAAAAGGGCAGAAGGCTTCTGCAGTGGCCAGCCGGGAAGTTATTCCACGCCAGGCCCCTTCCGACCAGCAGTCTGAGCCCACAGAGGAGCAGGCACTCACGTCCGGGGCAGACCGGGGGCGCAGAAGAGTGTGCCTGAAACCGGAGGCGCAGGGACTGCATCCCGCTTCGCCATTTGAGAACAGGGACATTTCTTCAGTAAAAACTGCCTAAAACCAGCAGAAAGCTCCCCCCGAAGGCAGAGATGGCTCCTGGAAGAGCCAGAGGGGAGCGGAGAAGTTCACCCAAGATGCCAGTCAGTCCGAGCATCACAGTGTCCCAACGCATACGACAAATTAGAAAACAGACAGAAGGGAGTAGAAGAACCACACGCAACCTAAAAACTCCTCAGGAAAGAAGCACACCACAAAAAGAAAACCACTCCCCAGATTGCAACGACAGCAACTTGGAAGAACTTCTGAGCCTTCCAGAAAGAGAATTTAAAATTGCCATGATTAAAAAGTGATAGATCAGAAGAAGGAAATTGAGTCCCTAAAGAGGGAAAATAATGGTCAGAAGAATGAAATTGAGTCCCTAAAGAGGGAAGTAAAAGAAATGCAGGAGATCAAAGAATTAATGGAGGAACTAAAGAACTCCGGGAAAAGCAAGGAAAGCAGAATAGATGAAATGGAAGAACGAATAAGTTCTCTTGAAGACACAGAAATAAAAAAAGAACCAAACAGAAAAGGAAAGAGAAGTACAAAGGAAAAAGAATGAAGAAAGACTTCGAGAACTATCTGACTCCATGAGGAAAGGAAATATAAGAGTTATAGGAATTCCAGAAGGAGAGGAGAGAGATGTAGGAACAGAGAAAATATTCCAGGAGATAATTGAAGAGAACTTCCCAAATGCGAAGAAGGAGCTGAAAATTGATATACAAGAAGCAAGAAGAACACCAAACTTCCACGACGAAAGGAAAAACACAGCAAGACACATAATAGTAAAGCTCCCAAGAATCCAGGACAAGGAAAAAATAATGAAGCTGACAAGAGGAAAGAAACAGATAACATTCAAAGGAAAACCAATCAGGCTGACATCAGACTTCTCTGAAGAAACACTACGGGCAAGGAGAGAGTGGAGGGACATAGTCAACAGACTCCAAGAAAACAGATGCCAACCAAGAATACTCTATCCCGCAAAGCTCTCTTTCCTCCATGAAGAAAGAATATGGACCTTCCCAGACAAAGAGAAACTCCGGAATTTCATTACAAATAAACCCCCACTCCAAAAAATACTACAAGGAATCCTAAAGCCAACCTCAGAGGGACGAATAACAACGAAAGAAGACCAAAAAAAAAAAAAAAAAAAAGTTATTAAAAGAATAAATAAATAAAATCAAAGGAAAGACAAACACAATGGCAAATACAGATGCTAACATATCAATATTAACTCTAAATGTAAATGGACTAAACTCTTCAATAAAAAGACACAGAGTTGCAGCCTGGATTAAGAAACAAAACCCAACCTTTTGCTGTCTCCAGGAAACACATTTAGCTACAAAAGATAAAATAGGCTCAAAGTCAAAGGATGGAAAACAATCCTACAAGCAAATGGGCCAAAAAAGAAAGCAGGAACAGCTATACTTATATCAGATAAAACAGACTTCAAACTCAAAAAAATAAAAAGAGACCCCAATGGTCACTACATTATGATTAAGGGGACAATACTTCAAGAAGAAATAACACTCAT